GGGGATGTGGCACTGGGGACACTGGGGACACACTGGGAGGGTGACCAGGGACACTGGAGATGGTGGCATCGGGTGGCACTGGGGACAAGGGAATGGGGGACACTGGGACACACTGGGGACACTGGGACACACTGGGGAGGGCACATGGGTGGCACTGGGGACACTGGGGACACTGAGGACACTGGGATGGTGGCACAGGTGGCACTGGGGACACTGAGGATGGTGACACAGGACACACTGCTGGCACTGGGGATGGTGGCACTGGGACACACTGGGAGGGCACATGGGTGGCACTGGGGACACTGGGGACACTGGGAAGGTGGCACTGGTGGCACTGGGGACACTGAGGATGGTGACAGAGGACACACTGCTGGCACTGGGGATGGTGGCACTGGGAGGGTCACTGGGGACACTGGGGACACTGGCAATGGGGACACTGGCAATGGGGACACTGGTGGCACTGGTGGCACTGGTGACACTGGGACACACTGGTGACAGTGGCAGTGGTGAGAGGTGACACTGGGGACACTGGGGTGGCACCATTGGTGGCACTGGGGGGCAGCAGGTGACAGCAGCGGCGCTGATGGCACAGGTGACACAGGTGACACAGGTGATGGTGGCACAGGTGACATTTATGGCAGCGGATGGTGGCAGCGGTGACAATGGCACCGGTGGCACTGGTGGCACCGGATGGTGGCGGGCAGCGGTGACAATGGCACTGGGAACAGCGGTGACAATGGCACTGGTGGCACTGGTGGCACCGGATGGTGGCGGCAGCGGTGACAGCGGCAGAGCATGGCAGCAGTGGTGGCACTGGATGGTGACAATGACGCCGGTGACGTGGGTGGCACCGCTGTCCCCTGTCCCCAGTGGCACTGGTGACATCAGGGAGGGGTGACAGCAGGGGTGGCCCTGGGGGGTGACAGCGGTGGCAGTGACAGGGTGGCACCGGTGTCCCTGTCCCCAGCACGGGTGGGTGGGCCCTGGTGGCCCTGGTGGCCCTGGTGGCCCTGGTGGCCCTGGTGGCACGGGGAGGGCGGCGAGCAGCACGGGGACACTGGGGGTGGCACTGGGGAGGTGACAGTGGTGGCACCGGTGTCCCCTGGCACTGCTGGTGACACCGGCGGCCCTGTCCCCAATAAGGCTGGTGGCAGCACGGGTGACACTGGTGGCACTGCTGTCCCCAATCCTCAGGGTGGCACTGCTGTCCCCTGACCCCAATAGCTCTGCTGGCATTGGTGGCAGCCCTGTCCCCATCCCTGTCCCCATCCCTGTCCCCCTGTCCCCATCCCTGTCCCCATCCCTGTCCCTCTGTCCCTCTGTCCCCCTGTCCCCATCCCTGTCCCTCTGTCCCCATCCCTGTCCCCATCCCTGTCCCCCTGTCCCTCTGTCCCCCATCCCTGTCCCCCCTGTCCCTCTCCCTCCCCCCCCAGCCCCAATTTTCCCTTTTTTCCCCCCAAACCCGCGGGCTGTGGGTGGGGGCGGGGCCGGTGCCACCCCCTCGTGTGTCCCCCCCCCTCCCCCCCCTCCCCCCTCGGTGTCCCCTCGTGTCCCCTCCCCCTCCCCCCTCGTGTCCCCTCCCCCCCCCGGGGGGCGGCGCCTCCTTGGAAAAGGAGGGGGGGGGGAATTTGGGGGTGGGGGGGGGCAGGGCCCGTGTCCCGTCTCCATGGCAACCGTCGCCAGGGCAGCGCAGCAGCGCCTGTGCGAGCATTATGGGATGGAGTCGCCATGGCTCCCATGGCGCGGGTGGGGGGGGGGGGAAGGAAAGGACTAGGGGGGGGGGGGGCGTCAAATCCGCCCCGCCCCCACCCCCAAAACACCCCGAGGGGGGGGAGGGGGGGCTCGGGGGGGGTTTGGGGATTCGGGGAGGGCTCGGGGGGGGTTTGGGCATTCGGGGGGGTTCGGGGGCATTCGGGGGGGCTCGGGGGCATTCGGGGGTGCTCGGGGGGCTTCGGGGCGGTTCGGGGGGGCTCGGAGGGATTCGGGGCGGTTCGGGGGTGCCCCCGGCGCCGTTACCGTGCTCGGGGTGCGGGCGGCCCTCCACGGGCACGCTGACGGTCCTGCGCAGCAGCTTGCTCCGGCACGGCTCCCCCCGCCGCTCCCGGATCAGCAGCGGGTGGATCTGGGGGGCATTGGGGGGGCTCAGAGATTTCGGGGGACCCCCCCCCCATACACACCCCCCCACCCCCCCCCCGGAGCCTTCCTCGCGCTGCTCACCTCCTCCTCATCGAGCATCAGCAGCTGGTTGCCGGAGATGATGCAGAACCGGGGGTTCCAGGGGGGCCGCTCGTACGGGAGGGGGGCGTAGGGCCCGCGGCCCAGGGGGGCTCCTCGCACATCTGGGGTGGGGGGGGGTCACATCTGGACGAGCCCCCCCCTCCCCCCACCCCCAAAAATAACCGGGTACCCCCCCCCCCCCCCCCATCCCCAGCGCCCCCCCCCCCCCCGGTGCCCACCCGCATCCTCCTCCCGCATCCTCCGCCCGCATCCCGCGTTGCTCCGGCAACCGCAGCCCACGGCGGGGACCGGCCCCGACTCTGGGGGGGGGTCCCCGAAATCCTGGGGGGGTCCCCGGATCGGGCAGGGGGGGTTGGGAAGCCCGGGTCCCAAAGGATGGGGGGGGGCTATGATGGGGGTGGGGGGGGTCCCCAAATTTTCGGGGGGGGGGTCCCAGGGACCTCGTGGGGACCCCCCCGAACCCCCCCCCCGGTACCGGGGTAGCCCCGGGGGCCCGAAGGATGGGGGGGGGAACGATGGGGAGGGGGGAGGTCCCCAAATTTTGGGGAGGGGTCTCAGAGAAGCCGAGGGGACCCCCAGGACCCCCTCGAGCCTCTGGGTGCTCCCCCAAACTCAGGGTGACCCCCCCCAAAAATCCAGGGGGCCCCCATCCCCCGGCAGTCACAGATGGGGTTGACCTGGTGCCCGAGACACCCCAAAAATCCACACGGGGAACCCCCGAAATCCCCCCGGGAACCCCCAAAATTCCGCCTGGGAATCCCCCAAAATTCCACTTGGAAACCACAAAATTCCACTCAGGAACCCCAAAATTCCACTTGGAAGCCACAAAATCCCTCACGGGAACCCCAAAATCCCATCCAGGAACCCCAAAAATCCACCCGGGAACCCCAAAATCCCTCCTTGGATCCCCAAAATTCCACCCGGGAACCCCAAAAATCCGCCTGGGAATCCCCAAAATTCCACTTGGAAGCCACAAAATCCCTCACGGGAACCCCAAAATCCCATCCAGGAACCCCAAAGTTGGACCTGGGATGCCCAAATTTCCCCCCGGGAACCCCAAAATTCCACCTGGGAACCCCAAAATCCTTCACGATAACCCCAAAATCCCACTCGGAAATCTCAAAATCAACGACAGGAACCACAAAATTCCTCCTGGGAACCCCAAAATCAACCACGGGAACCCCCAAAATTCCATCCGGGAACCCCAAAAATCCACCTGGAAAGCCCCAAAATTCCACACGGGAACCCCAAAATTCCACCTGGAAACCCCAAAATCCCTCCTTGGATCCCCAAAATTCCACCCGAAAACCTCAAAAATCCACTGGGAACCCCAAAATCCTTCATGGGAACCACAAAAATCCCTCCCGAGAACCCCAAAAATCCACCCGGGAACCCCAAAAATCCACGCGAGAACCCCAAAATCTCCCCAGAGACGCCCAAGATTCCACCTGAGAACCCCAAATACCCCCCAGAATCCCCAAAATTCCCCCCAGAAACTCCAAAATTCCACCTGGGAACCCCAAAATCCCATCTGAGAACCCCAAAATTCCACCCGGGAACCCCAAAACTCCCAAATTCCGGGGTGTCCCCAGTTCCCATTGGTGGGGCTGACCCGGTGTCCCAAATTTGGAGGTTTTGGGGGATTTTGGAGATTTTTGGGGATTTTGGGGGATTTTGGGAGGGGTCCCCAAATTCCAGAGAGTCCCCCAAACCCCCCCCCCCCGGGAATTCTGGGGGTCCCTCAGCACCCCCAGGAACCCAAAAAACCCCGGGGGGACCCCAAATCCCCCCCACGGCCACGGAATGGGCTGGACCGGGGTCCCGGCACCAGCATGGACCAGTAACAACCAGTATGGACCAGTAACAACCAGTATGGACCAGTATGGACCAGTAACAACCAGTAAGAACATCCCCATCTCCCAGTAACCATCAGGAACCCCCAGTAACTCCCAGTAACCACCAGTAACCACCAGTAACAACCAGCACGGACCAGTAAGCACCAGTTACAGCATCCCCATCTCCCAGTAACCACCAGTAACACCAGTAGCAACCAGTAACAACCAGCACAGACCAGTAACAACCAGTAACAACCAGTAACACCATCCCCATCTCCCTGTAACCACCAGTAACACCAGTAACACCAGTAACACCAGTAACCACCAGTAACCACCAGTAACAACCAGCACGGACCAGTATGGACCAGTAAGCACCAGTAACAACCAGCACGGACCAGTAAGCACCAGGAACAACCAGTAACACCATCCCCATATCCCAGTAACCCCAGTAAGCACCAGCGTGGACCAGTAACAACCAGTAAGCACCAGTTACAGCATCCCCATCTCCCTGTAAGCACCAGTAACACCAGTAACACCAGTAACCCCTAGCTGCCCCCAATTACCTCCAGTAACCACCAGTTAGCACCAGCATGGACCAGTAACAACCAGTAACACCATCCCCATCTCCCAGTAACCCCAGCAACCACCAGTAACACCAGAAACAACCAGTAAGCACCAGTAAGCACCAGTAAGCACCAGTTACAGCATCCCCATCTCCCAGTAACACCAGTAACCCCTAGTTGCCCCCAGTAAATACCAGTAACCACCAGTAACAACCAGTAACTCCCAGTAATGACCAGTAATGACCAGTAACAACCAGTAACGACCAGTGACCACCAGTGACCACCAGTGACCACCAGTGACCACCAGTAACACCAGTAACAACCAGTAACGACCAGTGACCACCAGTAACACCAGTAACAACCAGTAACGACCAGTGACCACCAGTAACACCAGTAATGACCAGTAACGACCAGTAACAACCAGTGACCACCAGTGACCACCAGTAACAACCAGTAACGACCATTTACAGCATCCGTATCTCCCAGTAACACCAGTAACACCAGCAAGCACCAGTAACAACCAGTAACCACCAGTAACCACCAGTAACACCCAGTACCCACCAGTAACCACCAGGACAGACCAGTAACCCCAGTAACAACCAGTAATGACCAGTAAGCACCAGTAACACCAGTAACAACCAGTAAGCATGAGTAACAAGCAGTAACCACCAGTTACCACCAGTAACACCAGTAACACCAGTAACACCAGTAACACCAGTAACCCCCAGTTACACCGTTCTCATGTCCCAGCATCCCCCAGTTACAGCATCCCCATCTCCCAGTAACTCCCAGTTACAGCATCCCCATCTCCCAGTAACCCCCAGTAACTCCCAGTTACAGCATCCCCATCTCCCAGTAACCCCCCAGTTACAGCATCCCCACGTCCCAGTAACCCCCAGTTACAGCATTCCCATCTCCCAGTAACTCCCAGTTACAGCATCCCCACGTCCCAGTAACCCCCAGTTACAGCATTCCCATCTCCCAGTAACTCCCAGTTACAGCATCCCCACGTCCCAGTAACTCCCAGTTACAGAATCTCCTTATTCCAGTAATGCCCAGTTACACCATCCCAGTCTCCCAGTAACTCCCAGTTAAATCATCCCCACATCCCAGTAACCCCCAGTTACAGCATCCCCACATCCCAGTAACTCCCAGTAACAGCATCACTGCAAACCAGTAACTTCCAGTTACAGCATCCCCACATCCCAGTAACTCCCAGTTACAGCATCCCCACATCCCAGTAACCCCCAGTTAAATCATCCCCACATCCCAGTAACTCCCAGTTACAGCATCACTGCAAACCAGTAACTCCCAGTTACAGCATCCCCACATCCCAGTAACCCCCAGTTAAATCATCCCCACATCCCAGTAACCCCCAGTTACAGCATCCCCACATCCCAGTAACTCCCAGTAACAGCACCAGTACAAACCAGTAACTCCCAGTAACAGCATCCCCCATTCCCAGTATCCCCAGTAAGAGCAGCCCCTGCTCCCAGTAAGAGCCCCCCCAGGCCCAGTCTAACCAGTAACCGCCTCCTCCAGCAGCAATCCCAGTGCTCCCAGTACAAGGCCTCTGCTCCCAGTATGCCCAGTAACAGCAGCCCCCAGTCCCAGTAACAGGCCCCCTGAATCCCAGTATGCCCAGTAACAGCAGCCCCCAGTCCCAGTAACAGGCCCCCCGAGTCCCAGTATGCCCAGTAACAGCCTCCCCTGCTCCCAGTATGCCCAGTAACAGCATCCCCCAGTCTAACCAGTAAGGGACACCCCCAGCTCCAGTACTGCTCCCAGTATCCCCAGTAAAGGCATCCCTGGCTCCCAGTACTGGCCCCAGTAACCCCAGTACCAGCAGGCCCTGCTCCCAGTATCCCCAGTAACAGCCCCCCCCCCAATCCCAGTATGCCCAGTAACAGCCGCCCCCAGTCCCAGTATCCCCAGTAACAGCCGCCCCCAGTCCCAGTATGCCCAGTAACAGCCTCCCCCGTTCCCAGTATGCCCAGTAACAGCCTCCCCCGTTCCCAGTATGCCCAGTAACAGCCACTGCGGGGCCCAGTACTGGCCCCAGTATACCCAGTACCGGCAGCCCCTGCTCCCAGTATCCCCAGTAACAGCCTCCGCCAATCCCAGTATGCCCAGTAACAGCATCCCCCAGTCCCAGTATCCCCAGTAACAGCCTCCCCCGTTCCCAGTATGCCCAGTAACAGCCATCCCCAATCCCAGTATGCCCAGTAATAGCAGCCTTTGCTCCCAGTATGCCCAGTAACAGGTGCCCCCAGTCCCAGTATCCCCAGTAACGGCCACTGCTGGGCCCAGTACTGGTCCCAGTATCCCCAGTAACAGCTGCCCCCAGTCCCAGTACCGGCCTCTCCTGCTCCCAGTATCCCCACTACGGGCCTCTCCCGCTCCCAGTATGCCCAGTAACAGCAGCCCCTGCTCCCAGTATGCCCAGTAACAGCCACCCCCAATCCCAGTATCCCCAGTA